CTGACTGCATGTTCAAGGCCTACAGCTAAAATTTTGCCACTTACAGGTCTGTTTTGCTTGCTGCACCCCTGAGTGTAGAGTCAAAGGTCTGAATATGTTTACTTCATTTACTCAGCAAATTCTCCAATTACAGGATTAGTTCATTTCTTAATTTTATTCTTTTATAGCATCTTAAAATCTGAGATTGTAAGTACACATGAAAAAGTGGTAATGTCATTTTTCATAGTTTTGCCCGATTTCAATCTTTCTTCAGCACATGGATTTCATGCTAGTTTAACTAAGTGTTGATAGAGCATTAAAACTAGTCATTAAGACATTCTGGTTTAAGACACCAATGTAGAGATTATCTCCTAAACCTTCAAGGTTCATAATGTACACAGTGAGGAAGGGACAGCCTGACAAAAGAAGGTTTCCAAGAAACTCATACCACATCCTCACTGCTTCTAAGTTCAACCAACATATCCTCCTGGGTAAGCTTCGGAAGCATGGGATAGATGGGACGGTGAGGTGGATTAGGAATTGGCTCCATGGCAGAGCTCAGAGTGTGGTGATCAGTGGAGCAGGGTCTGGTTGGAAGCCTGTGGTTAGCAGTGTCCCCCTGGGGTCAGTCCTCAGTCCGGTCCTGTTCAACTTATTACTTAATAAACTGGATGAAGGGATGGAGTGCTCCCTCAGCAASTTTGMTGATGATACAAAGCTAGGAAGAGTAGCTGATAGCCCTAAGGGCTGTGCTGCCATCCAGAGGGACCTGGACAGATTAGACAACTGGACAGTGAGAAAACTCTTGAAGTTCAACAAGGGAAACTGCAGGATCTTGCACTTGGAGAGGAATAACCCCAGACACTGATATATGCTGGGAGCTTACCTTCTAAGGAGAAGCTCCGTAGAGAGGGACCTTGGCGTCATGGTGGACAACAAGTTGACCATGAGGCAGCAGTGTGTCCTTGTGGGCAAGGCAGCCAATGGGATCCTGGGGTGCATGAAGAAGAGCATCTCCACCAGGTTGAGGGAGGTGATCATCCCCCTCTACTCAGCCCTGGTGAGGCCACATCTGGAATATTGTGTCCAGTTCTGGGCTCCCCAGTACAAGAGGGATGTGGAGCTGCTGGAGAGAGTCCAACACAGGTCTACAAAGATGATCAGGGGCCCTGTGAGGCCTCTATGAGGAAAGGCTGAGAGAGCTGGATTTGTTCAGCCTGAAGTAGAGGAGGCTGAAGGGGGACCTGATAAGCGTATATAAATACCTCAAGAGAGKGAGCGAGGAGGAGGGGGCCGGCCTCTTTTTAGTGTTGGCCACTGATAAGACTAGAGGAAATGGCCACRAACTGAAGCACTGAAATTTCCACAGAAACTTAAGGAAAAATTTCTTACCAGTGAGGATGACAGAGCCCTGGAACAGGCTGCCCAGAGATGTTGTGGAGTCTCCTTCTCTGGAGATCTTCCAAACTTGGTTGGACACAACCCTGTGCCATGTGCTCTAGGTGACCCTGTGTGTGCAGCAAGGTTGCACTAGGAGACCTCAGAGGTCCCTTCCAACTTTAAGGATTCTATGATTCTATGTTTTATGCTAGAATTTATCAGGTATTTTTTGTTTCCACAACATAGCTCCTTAATTTCTTTTTCTCATTATAGAATTACTTCTTAGTAAATTAAAGCCCACAAAAACACTTTATTCTCATTAAAAAGAAAAAGTGGAAAAAGTAGAGAAAATATCCTGCTGTGGAACAGCTTTGTGATGACTGCAGAAAATATGGCCACTTCTTAAACCAAATGGCAGCAAACTCAGTCAATTCCTGCAGTAAAAGTGACTTCAATACATCGTGTACATTCAGAGAGAATGAAATCATTCATGTGCAATGCATGAATATTTCTCTGTGGCTGTATAAAAACAGGATTGAGTTCACTGTGATTCAAAAATCACTCCGATTAAAAAGAAAAAAAAAGTAAACAGAGAACATTAACTATGTGAATTCATGTAGCGTATTTTCATAAATCTCATGAACTTTTTTTCTTTCYGGTTTCACAATTAATGAATAATAACTTTGTTACTCTATCTCAGTGACACTAGATGGCACTTCAGTGTAGTGATGGGATCAGACTCTTTTGTAATCCTTTCCAGCTTGGTGTGTAGATGCATGAAATTAATGCTATTGTCAAACAGAAACGTAGTTCTTCAGCTTTCTGTTAATGTGAATATACAAATATTAATTTAATAAGATTATATATTTTTTAAAAGTAGCAAATATAAATGGAAAGAGATTTTAGCATCATGGTTCACTGGTAGGTCAAATAAAGGCAGATTGCAGGCCTAAGAGCTCTTGCCAGATGCCGTTTGCCGTTTAAGCAGTAGTCTAAGGAGGGAATTGAGGAGGATCTATAGACCTGGAAAATGTAAAATTGTCTGCATAGTATCTGGATTTAACTCTAGTGAACTAAGAGRTGATCTTTTCCTGAGAATTAAGCCAGAAATGATATTGTTTATGCAACCAATCAAGCTGATGATCTCTGTACATGACCTGGTGCACTTCAAGTAAAACCAGCCACCTCCCTTCTGGCCTTAGAAGCCAAGAATATACGAATGGTCTAATTTATTCGGAGTTTTTGTAGGCAAGTTTTGAAAAATAGCATTCTTCAAGAATATTTGGCGTTGTTAACAAAGACTCTGTACTTACTTTGGAATAGCTTGAATCTGAGAAGTGTCATTAATGAAAAAAAAATAAGGACAACACAAACGCAAAATAAGTTTACAAACTAAACTAGCAATGCTTTTTAACCTTTCTAAAGCCTAGTTTAAGATGTCATTTTCATTTCCAAGCACAGTCCATTCGGTGAGAAAATAGAAAGCGGCTATTTTCCTTAGCTAAAAACATTTTAAAGCAACTTCTTTAGTTGACACTGTAATAACGCTTATGTATGAAGGAAAAATTACACATTAACAAACCACCAAATATCAGGAAATGTTGGCGTTAATTATGAAAAGCTCTTTAAATGGGAGAAATTTAAGTTCAAACTTGAACATATTTCTAAGGAGGGTGATGAATCACAGATATTGTTAACTAAATATGGCAGATCTTGCCTCTGACATTGGACATTTTAACAGTTTTGACTCTAATTTTTTTTTACTCTAGCTTCTTTGTCACATAAAGGATGAAATTAAAAAGATTATGAGTAAATCTATCTTCGAAGGCAAAGGCAGAAAACTGCTATTATTTTAGCGCGGATTTTTAATGGTAACTTTGTATTTGGTGAAAGATATAAGAAGATTTTTAAGTCATTTAAATCCTGATATTCTAGCAGCTGAGAATTTTTTGCTTTGTCTTTTTCTTCTGATATATCTTATTTCAACTAGCTTGAATTTGCACATCATATGGATATACCAAGAGACAGTCACACTGTTTGCCAGTAGTAACTCCTCAGTGACCCAGGGTTGCAGGAAGGACAGAGATGCCYTAGGCTGCCTCAGGGAGACAAGGATTTTACTCTTTTATGAGTTTGATTCAAATCTGACAGGTTATTTTATAGTTGTTTACACTTTCCATACTTTATGGTGGGATTGGGATGCACTGTTGAGCCTAAAGGTTTCCTACTTTAGCCCTCTTCCTTATTCCTTTCTGCCCAACTGTTTACAGATTTTTTGTGTGTTTCCATTCCTTTTTTTTTTTTTTCTATTTTTACTTTTCTTTAAGTGGAAGCACCATCTGTTCTGTATTTATATGAAAAGCAGTTTTTGAACTATTGAGCTTTCAACTGCTTTGAAGTCTTTGCAGATGCTCTGTCTGTGCGTGGTTGGACTGACTTAGGAGAGGGTCCAATCAGTCTGACACTGTAGGCATGACTTCGCAGTACATCATAGAAAACTGAGAATGATTTTACATTTTTTTTTTTTAAATTTGTTCTGGTCTCATGTTATAGGATTTCCTTATTCAATTTTATTGTACAACCTGGGAAGCAGGAATGCCCCAGTATGTTTGCTGCCCTTCTTAAAAGGATTATTTTATGAGGAATACAGTTATGTTTTAACACAAAGGGCAGGAGTACTTGGTATACCRTGAGTATTACATAGCCAGAGAAAGACAAGGTCAGGATATTTACTTTTTGACTTAACATTGATTCTGATTTGAAGGAAAAACCTTATTTTGCAGAGATTCTAAATCCATGATGGAGGACTGGTACAGGTATTTATATGTTTTTTTTTTTTATGCTAATTCATTTTTATTATTTTCTAGATAAATCTCTTATATTATTTGCATCTCTTCATTTGAACTATCTGCATATAGAATATGTGGAGTCTTTCTGGTTGAGATCCAACTAAGTACTAAAGGAAAAAAAAATTTGAGTTTTTTTTGTGCTTTTTTTACCTCCAGTGACAAAAKAATGTCATGTACTACTAGTTTTATTTTAAAATAACACTCTCAATATGAGAAAATCAGAAGAAAAATCAGATGTAAATTGGGGGAAGTCACTGATGACACATTAAAAAAAGACATCAAACAAGCATGCAACAGCACTCCGTCCCTATTGTGTGGTTATATAGTGATTTACTTTCACTTCCAAYTATTTAATGCCTAAAAAGATGAAAATTATTACAAAAATATATTTCTTTTATTAAAGGAAATATATGAATGTTAATAAGGAGACTTTTTTTTTTCTCTTTTTTTCAAGGGAAGAGAACTTTCACATAACTAGTTCTTTTTTAAACATTTCTATACCAAATATATTCCTTTTTCTCTGGACTTAATCATAATTAAAGTTCTGACACACTATATGCTATTAAAACAGAAAATAAAGACAAACACTGGAGTTTGCCTGTATTACAGTATTCTTTAATATAAATGACATACAAGTTTTACAAATTAGAGAGATTGACTTTGGAGAATTAAGAGGCTGCAGAAGACTATTTTAATGAGACATTTGGTCTGAGCATATATTTAACTCTGTAGTTTGACAGTAGAAATATGCAGCCTACCTTTGATGCATTTGCCACCCACTGGTATGGGTTGAAGAACCCCCAATTTKCAGAGGGCTTTCAAATCATGCTACGATACCTCTATGAATGATGTCCAAGCAACTTTGAGCTAAGCCTGGTAGTTACTTCACCTTGTATTTCACTATAGCTATGCTCTGGTTTATAATCTAAATCTCAGAAATTCTTCAGATGGGGAATCTGCACATCTCTACTTGGCAATTAGAAACATAGTTTAAATACCAAAAACAGTAAGGAATACAGAACAATGTACATTGTAGAGCAAGTGAATGATGAATTGCTGTTATTTTTGGTTTAGATGTATACATGGATTGGGATGGACAACTAAACCCTAATACCTTACTCTGCAATGTAGTCTCACTGAGATTAGTGAAACTGCCCTTGTGACTAAGGTGAGAGGGATTTGGACTAGAGAAATRTAGTTAATGAGATCCAGACATAGGCTAAATGTTTTGCACTGCAAACTATTCTTTATTTTGTTCAATAGGATTATGTTAGCCTAATTCTGAATAGCATTGCTCAAGAAGAATGGAAAACTTAAAAAAAGCATGTGTACAATATGAATTTATTTTATTTTTCCCAAAATAATGACATTAGCAACAACTTTTATTTGCCTCTGCTAAGTAGATACATTCAGAATTAGCTTAATATTATAGTGGATATTTTAAAACCTCCAGGGCTTGAAGTAAGTTCAAAGGGGCTTATTCTCCCCAAGAATAAAAAATAGGTTGAGAGTCATCTTTTTTGTCTACCTTTTGTGTGTGTGTGTGTGTGTGGCTATAAAAATACCAACAATTGTTTTTTTTTTTTTTTTTCCTCCATATATATCATAGCTTGACAAATATTTACTCCGAATCTCATATACAATGGAACCTGTAGCATTCAGCAAATTGATAAATACCACAGAAAGCATGCTGGAAAAAAGGCTGAAATAAATGAGATTTAACCATGGTTGGCAATTCTTTTTGGTAGCATGCTTGATCTTGTATATCTGTAATGACTTGTTTCTTTTACATCAATGGATCGTCTCCACTTTACAATGAAGTTTCTGGTATTTGGCTTTAATTGTTAGCAACTTTTTTTTTTTTTTTTTTTTTTTTTAACAGGCCTGTTACAACCGGTACGTCAACTGAAATGCAACCAAACCCCGTCTTTAGAGATCTATTTGTAATTTCCAATCTGTACCGCAGATCGTTCATGGATACACCGGAAAGCAGAAGGCTGGATTTCCCAGTATTGCACAGGATTGCTAAAAAGGCTCACGCCGGAGTAGGTAGCCTTTTTGGTGTTGTAGCCAAGAGGGCAAAAGTCGTTGATCCCAATTGAAGCAATTTTGTTGTTATGAAGATAGACTACCTGAAAGACATAGAAGTGTGTAAGTAAGTGAACAATAGTGCTAAACAGTGTAAAAGACATAAATAATTTGACATCAGATAATTGGCAAGCATTGTACAATACCATGTAGAGTAATAATATGCCTGTTTTCTCAAAAGTATGCTTTATTCTGCTTATGTTTTGAACTATGAAGATTATACCCAATTTGAAACACTTCTAGAGAAAAAGAATACAGAGGAAAGTAGAAATTGTGCAAAGGAACTCAGTAATATTATTGATTGTACTATATGATCATTCTATAACTGAAACAAGAGTCATCAAATTAAAATATTAATATAGTGCTGTGATTCATAAGCATGTKCTATATACAAAGGATCTATTTGGTTTCTCTCAAACTCTAGTGCTTTCATTCTCATGAAGGGGACTGTATAGGACTCAGAGTTAAAACAATCACGAATAGTGACTTAAATTAGCTAAWAGATATTATGTTGCTCCAAAGTCACTACTTTTAATGAATTTTCTCATGCTATGTGCAAGTGGTGATTTATATTTGGGAGTCTTCATTCTTCAGGATCTTTCTTTCCAGTAAAATCTTACACCCAGTGAGAACAGATTGTAATCAATTCCAAGAGGACCATATTTCCAGCTATTCAGTCACATATATAGATTTCACTACCTTATTTCACAGTCACATACATATATAGATTTSAAATATTGCCCTATGAGGCAGTTTGACAAACCTTACCTGGATATATTTATGGTCACCCAGCCCACCAGGTACTCTGGGAAGTTCATTGTTATTCAAATGAAGCTCTCTCAGATGAGGTACATTGTTAAGAGAGCCATTTTCGACTGAAGAAATACTGTTGAAACTAAGACCCAATCTGAAAGACAAAACAAAACAAACAAATCAAAACAAATGATGCTAAACCAGATAATTATCTTTCACAGAGTAAGTGCTTCTCTACACTACTGTTATATTATARACAAGGCTGATTTGCAGAACTATTGATGGGATTATGTAAATTTGATATCTGAGGTGAACTATMGTAAAAAACATGACATGATTCAATTTGTGCTCATGGCACTTTTTTCTTTTATATTTCAGTGACTAGTGTCACTGTAAGATATAGCGTGTACCTCAGGAGGTAATAGACTTTCTTTAAGAGCTAAATAAAATTTCTTACATGGCAGTAGGAATAACTTTCTTTGCCCAGCTACTTGATCCCTGGTCACAGAACTGTTAATTTTAAATCTTCACCACAATCTTATAAGATATCAATATGTTTATACTTATTTTAGAGACAGAGAGCTAGAACTGAGTCGTACATGACAAATCAGCTCAGCAACACACAGGAAGGAAAATGAACACATTTCTCCTGGGTTCAAGCACTTGTTTATCATGTTCAATTTCCAGGGAAAAAAATGCTCTGACATTAATTTATTGTTAAATCAAGTAAAGAATTTGACAAAGATAATCAGAATCTTGATGATATCATAACTTGCTATGGAGTAATACTTTTACAGAAAATGTGATTCACAATAATCTACCACTTGTACTTCTCTGTGCCATTTTCAGAAGACATGATTTAGACCTAGTAAAACATTACAGAGCTAAAAACACCTGTTTGGTGTTTGTGGCATGGATGTTTCCATAATATCACCCAAGAATAGAAGCATATTTTATGTATATCCTTTAAAAAATAAATGAGCAAAGAAATATCATTGATAACTAGTAGTATGTAACACAAAGACAAAATCCTACTTATTTAAACACTTAAATCTGGTTAAACCAGCAAAGGACAAATRAGAGTTTAATGAGATCTCCCACTGACATCAGTATGGTTTTACTTCACTCAGAAATGCATTTTGCATTATCTCATATCCTTACTAAAAAAATTGGTCATGGAATAATTTTTATGACTCTCATTTAAAAGCTATTAGAACAAAATCCTTCTGAGTACAGTCCATGAAGATTTAGTAAAGCTTGGGGGATTTGATCCTACATGCACAATTTGGTCTGGAGACACACCAAATTCCTACAAATGACTTGTGTCCTCACAGTGGTTTTTTTTAGAAAGATCAGAAATAAACTTTTTGGCAGATGATTGTGTAAATTCTTGGTGGACATGTATGAGAAAATACATCCACTAGATATTCATGTCTATAAGCAATTGGGTCACACCTAAAGAGAAGAGCATGAGAAACGCATATTTGGCTTTAATATTGGTCTGTTAAAACAAAAGTGACCACCTTTCACATGGTAAGGATGGACAAGATCCAATTTTGGAACAGCTCATGCAAGGAAAAAGTCTTTTAGAGAAAGAGTGAAAAATGGAAGAATCTGAATAAAAATGAACTTAACTCTCACAAGCAGTGCAAGTATATGCATACAATTATGTTTAATTACACCTCATCTACATCTGTTACGAGAGAACTCAGTTACCTGGGGCTATGTTTACAAAAGAAATAAGGAAGGATTTATGTGTAAAGTAGATTAAAAGTTCTAGGAAATAATATAGTCTCCGTCTTCCCTCTCTTCCTCATGGGACTGAAAAAGGAGGAAGATGGAAAATCACTCTTGTATATTTTATATAAATATGCATATATAAAAATATGCATATATATTATACATATATGCACTTTATCATATACACTTTAACAAGCTTCATGCAGCAGATCATCATTATACAGGACTTGATGCAACTTCTGCTGTATGTAGCTAGTTACTTTAAGTAAATTTTAATAAACTTTAGTAGACTCTAGGCTTTAGTAACATCAGTTGTATAATACATTTACTCTCCTGGGGAGCTCCTTCATTAAATCAGTAGAGTCTTTTTTCAGTTTATATTCATTACTGTTTTTTTCCACTGCATCACTATGTGAAGACCTTTGAAGGAGTATGGCATGGGTAATTTTATGAGGAAAAAAGAAATATGACAAGTATAGMTGGTGTACTAGAAGTCAGGAATTCAAAAGTGAACAAATACTCTGCTATTCTATACTGGCTTCTCAAACAACGCAGTTTACAGTTCAAAACATCTTAGCAGAGGTAGTCAATAAATTGACCTGTTTCTCAAAAGCCACCTGTGCTTTGGGGCAGCTACTACTCTTGGTCAATAGTATACATGCAACAATGTTTTCATATCTGTTTTTTTCCAAGGATGAATGTGAAACAGCAGGAAAATTCAGTTATTCCCAGGACAGCTGACCTACCAACAGTCCAGGAAACGGTAGTCTTATCTAAGTTATTAAGATCTTTCAGTTTAGGTTTCTTTATCATTTCTGTGGAGAATGTTATATTTTATACTAAAATGCTAATCTGTATTTGCAGAATTTTCCTTTATTCATGAAAATTCAGCAGCAGACTGCTTTTTAATCAAGGATAAATCTGTTCTGAACTACTTCACTGAAGTATTTCATATATATATATATGAAGAATATTTCATAATTGTATGTGTAGTAGTTATTGTTTTGACTATATGTATGTGACAAGAAGAAACACATTCTTACTTAGCCAAGTTGGTGAGTCCAGACAGACTGTCAGCATCAATTTTGCTGATTTTGTTGCCATCAAGGTGAAGTTCAGTAAGAGATGGAGGAAGCCCTGAAAGATAACTTCATCAAATTACTTTCAGTAAAACTGGATTTTTWAAAATTTTTTTTAAGTGCTCTTGACTGGTGTTATACTGAGACTGAAGAATTTTTACCAGGCATAGACAAGATAATTTCCATGAACTAATGAACATTGAAATATCATCAATAAAGAGTGAGCAATTCTTTGTACATTGAAAAGCATTGAATTTAAACAAAGAACTTTCACAATCAGGGAAATCAAATAGCATTTATTTTTCATGTAGCATTTTTGTTTGGACTTAAATGAAATTAAACTTAGTTTGAAGGTTAGCATACAACTCAGTCCTTAAAAATAGATAAATGACATCCTTCACAGGTATTTATTTTGGTCTTTATGATTATAAAAATGGGACATATATAAAGAGAAATGGGACATATATAAAGAGAAAAAGTGTAAGAGGAATAGTGTAAGAGAAATTTTACTCAGGTAATCCACATGCATGAATCTACAAACATTTTGGTCCAATGCATTTTAAAAATAACACAAGCAGCAAATGAGGTTATAAAGCTGTTGGWAAACATTTTTAACCTTATCTTACGTAGAGCATCCACTAGTCTAAAACTTTATCAAGACTAAATATTTTCATTGTCTAAGGTCCCCTGAAAAAACAGCCAAAACCRGAAGTGTGGGAAGAAAAAACAACTAAAATTAACTTTCAAAAAAGTRAAGTTATTTCAAAACAATCTCCTGTCTGGAGTATGAATAAATTGACTATAATTTCCTCTAGGTCAGAAACATTTTGTATTTCTTTCCTTTGGGATAGGTTATATTGAAGATGTTTTTATTTTCTAGTAATTTAAAATGAAGTACTTTTTTAAAAAGTAAATGTTATTGTTTTGTGCAGGAATGGTCTTTTGGCTCAAACCCACTACATGGGTTTATATGTGCATAATGTTTTTCAAGTTAGCAAAGAAGGGCTGGAGGGTAAAAACATTCTTTCAGTTTATACTTCCACTGTGATACAAAAAAAAAAACAGTATGACATCAAAACGTCTTACTTTTGAAAATGCACCTCTTGTGAAGCTTCTGATAATGGAAAAATAAAATTTGCCAAACCAATAAAAGACAATTTTTAAAAAAACCCTGTCTTCTATTGGCAGTCAAATTATGAGTACTTAAGGGACTGGTGCAAAAGGCTTTTAAGCTGCTTCTTTATTTTTAAGTTAGTTAACTAGAAATTACTACATTTTATCTGGAGAAAGCTAACTAATATTTATTTAAGTTCTTACCTTTTGGGATGCTAGTAATGTTGGTATCTGCAATACGGATGTAGGACAGTTTCTTCATCCCTTGGAAAGCTCCATTTTCAATGCCTGAACTTTTGAGCGGATTGGTGCCCAGTTCTGCCAACAAAACAGGTTTGTGAGTGGGGCTGCACTGTATACCTCTATATCTGTTAAAATTCAGATGTCTGCCAGGTCAAAGCTAATAYGGCGGTATAACTTATTGGAGCAATTCTTGACTTTTCACATAAAATCACACTCTATGTGAACTAAGAACAACTCCTGGAAAACGCTGTGAAGTAGTGGGTTGATTTAGTTATGATTTTTTATGCACCTACCTAGAACAATCACTTGATTCAGTCCATTAAAGACAGCTTTCCTCAGCTTAGAGATCTCATTCTCATGAGCACGTATTTCCTGAAGAGACTTGGGCATGTTTTCTGGAAGCTCTTTCAGGTTGTTCTTGGACAGATAAAGTCTTTCCAGTTTCTTCAGAGGAGCAAAAGCTGCTGGGCTTATTTTGCTGATTTTGTTGTTAACAAGGATCAATGCCTGTGGAGTAATAAAGAAGGAGATCTCAGATGACCACTAGGGAATTTATTCTGAAAAGGAAACATTTTTTTAAAAAATGTGTATCTAATGAATAGTATATTTGTGATGGCCAACCAAGTGAGCTGCATAAAATGCAAAGCAAGACTAAAATAAATATATTGAGGGCTGTTGAAACAGTGAAAGATGAATAAAAGAAGACCTGAAAAACAACTACAGGTGGTATCTTGTTGCTGAGGTACATGCAGCTTCTGTGAATACCTATGAGAATCATAATTTGTATCCAAGATGAAGCACAATTCTTTCACTTGAAAGCTGTGAAGAACAAGTGATTTGCATGGAATTAATAACATTACCACTTTTGTGTTCTTTTTTTCCTTTTTTTTTCCTGAGGGAAGAGAGGCTTCCATAACAGCTCACTTAGATATCTGAATCAGACGGTCTGCATATGCCACTAATAGTACTCTGATCTGGCAATTTTACAGCCGTGCTAACACTCTTATTGCTTAACCAGCTATGACATAAAAAGAGAGAAGAAACTCCCATTAATATCAAGAGAAATGTGTCTAATGGAAGAGATGTCAAGTATACCAAATATGACAATGAATCTTTTCATTTCAACTGCTTTCTGTCTACTTCTCTTTAAGAATTTATAGTGTTACATCTTTGTGCAATGTATGAAATAGAAGGGGTTATAAATTAAAAAAAAAATCAATAGTATTATTTATTTTTATTTCTAGACATATTAATAAATAGTAATAAATAGTTCTGGTCACTGAATTTACAAAAAACACAAGAAAGCACTTGCTGCTGCATCACAATTTTTTATATTAYATATATTACAGTTAACTTTGTGTATTTTAATATAGTGTTAGAATTTTTATAATTAACCCTTCATGTCTTTCCTGGAGAAAAAAAAAATCTTTAAAACTTTCAGCAATCAGCTAAGCGTTAAAAGACTGTCAAGAAGTTTGTCAGTGTCTATAACCCTACCTTTCTCATAAAATTTGAGAGAGAAATGAGAAGATAGTTCAAAAATGTATTTGATTTTTCTCCTTCCCCGCCAAAGGACTCTTTTTGCAGATGATCCCAAGGAAAGCAAACAGCATTTTGGCTGTAGGTCATTTCACAAGAGTACACATGAAGCTGTACATAATCTGTTTTTAATTTTGCATGCTAGCTAGCAACATCACATTCGTGAGAGGAGGTAGAAAAGGTCACTCGCAGTTCAGCAGAGTATTTCACCCGCAATAAGCCTCTCCCAAAATAACGGCCTTGTTGGCCAGTGGAAGCTATATCTATAGTTYTCTTCTACTTGAATTAGTATTATAAGACATGCCACGAGGACACACGGATTGTGGTTTTATAACAGTAGCTGCTGCCAGAATTTGGAAGTAGATGCATCTTCCAGCTTTAGTATAATAAAGCTACCTATACTGGGGCTTCATGATGAAGGATACATCTTAAATCATGCAAATTAGTGTCTTTCATTGATTTTTGTTTTTCATAAATAGGATAACTGTATTTATTACTGATAGTTACATTACTTTTTTGTTGATTTCATCATGGATTTGTTTTTCATACACATCTGAGTCAACATTCCTTTGGGACATATAATGTTCATATTCAGTGACTAGTTAACGGAATTGCTAAGGCTCCTTCAGAGCAGAACTGTTAGTCCTGTCCAGAACCAGAAATTATCTAGGATTAATCTGTTCTGCTTTGCTTTGTCTCTGTTTCCTCATTATTTTTGTGCTATCAATACATAAAACACATAAAATTGCTGCTTTATTCAAACATTCATAAGATGTTACTCTCACTTACAAATGATTGTATCTATGAAGGGTGTTTGAAAATAACGATTTCAGGGTGGCAATGTATGTATGGTGGTGTTAGATGGGAATGTGTTACAAGCCTGTGGTTTTCAAACTTTTTTGGACCCAAACACCATTTCTCACTTAACCCCCTGTTGTATAAGTCCCTAATCTTCTTGTTTGAAGTCTGTATTATATTTCACTCTGTTGTGTAGTTGTAAAGGAAAAAAAAAAAAAAGGACATAAAACACACAAAATGCAAGAAAAGATCTACATTTTCCCACAGCAAATGACGAGGAAAACATAGTAGCACTACACCTGGCAAACCATACCTACATGTTCCTTTTCCACTTCACAATAACTCCCTTATGTGCTGGACCTGGAGAAATAAATTATTAACCTTGGAGTGCTTTTGTTTACTTTTCTCTGAATGTGCCCCTTATGGTTTGCTTGTAACAAAAGTTAAAATGAAAATAAAATAGAATAAAATAAAAAACTTGGGGAAATTTCGAGGTCATTGAAAACAGGAACTGGAGGAGAAACACCTAGGGAAAACATCTGCAAGCAGTGCTATTGAGGAAGGATGTTAGACAACAATGTGCCAAATGGGCTAAATAGCCTGAATAAAGCACAAATGGTATGATAAGGCATTATATTCACCTTTTTAAAAGGTAACTGTATATACAAACTTTGTGAAGAGAAAGAAATTTTGGGAGGGAAAACAAAATCAAAGTGCTGAAAGTGTTTGAACCTTGGGCCACAGCTGACACTAAGAGTGCTGCTAGTATAGAGCTACTACACAGATGAAAAAAATGTGACAGCTTAGGACAATACTTGAATAGAGCCACAGCAATTGGTGTTTCTTTTTCAAAAATCCATCTTCTTCCATGTTTCTATTCATTTTGGGAGTGGAAAAAAAAATCTCTTTTAAAATAAGTTTACAAAAAGAAGAAAAAAGAGCACTGAAGTATATCATCCTTTCTCAGTAAAAATGTTGAGCCTACCAACTTCCACACAGTTACACCAACTACAACACAGCTTCCAGGATGACTTGTTACGGGTGCTGAGGTATTTAATGAGAGGCAAGAAAAGAGGTAAGAAAGAAGAGGCTACAGTTTTTTCCCTTCACCCTGTGACTTCATATGTGCCACGAAGTTTTCTCTGCAAACATTGATCCTATGTTTGTTATTAAATTCTGACCCTGTTTTATTTATTATTATTATATGTTACACTGCAGTAATGCCTACAGACTATGCTGTCATAACTGCTAGTTTAAATTGATGCTCAGAGAGGTGAAAAAAAACAGTACAAAATTTGCTCCAAAGCTGGTTTGGTCCTTTCTGCAACACCTCTGATATTATTGTACTAAGAAAAATAAAACTCACTGTATAACAGGAATAGATGCTGGCTCAGTTGAAGTCAGCGGGAATTTGGCCATTTACCTTTCTCTGGCCTGGTTTCTACCTCAAATATTTACTCTCGGAAACAAAAAGGAGGATTCATAATTCAGAAGGATTTTGGAAGACGTGTTGGCATGCTCTGTCCAAATATTCCAACAAAATGCACAAGTAGTCTGTGGCAATCAGGTACGAAGTAATGTAGGTAGGTAGTATAGTGCAATGTGAAACACTTACATTTTTGCCATGAGTGAATCACGCAGAATCACAGATGGTTGAGGTCGGAAGGAACCTCTAGAGATCATCTGGTTCAGTCCCCCTGCTCAAGCAGACACACCTAGCGCACATGGCACAGGTTGCATCCAGTCCTGGTTGACACCAAGTTAACCATGAGCAGCAGTGTGCCTTCATGACCAAGAAAGCCAGTGGGATCCTGGCTGCATCAGGAGGATGTTGCCAGCAGGTCGARGGAGGAGATCCTGCCCCTCTACTCAGCTCTGGTGAGGCCGCATCTGGAATATTGTGTGCAGTTCTGGGCTCTCCAGTATAAGAGGGATGTGGACCTTCCAGAGAGGGTCCAGCGGAGAGCAACAAAGATGATTAAGGCACTGCAGCATCTATCTTATGAGGAAAGACTGAGTTGGGCCTGTTTTCTCTGGAGAAGGGAAGGTTGAGAGGGGATCTTATCAACATGTACAAAAAAAWGTCTTCAAAACCTGCCTGGATGTCACCCTGTGCCATGTGCTGTAGGTGTCCCTGCTGGAGCTGGGGTGTTCGACTAGATATCTCTAGAAGTCTCTTCCAACCTTCACCATTCTGTGATTCTGTGACTCTGTGAGACCTAAGACAAATGTTACAAATACATGAAACAATTCAAAGATAATTAAAACAGGAAAAATGAAACAGCAGTATTTGGAGTGGGCCTACATGCTTTGTTTTCTTTCTGAGATAAACTGATGGAATTCCATAAACTGACAGAATGAGAGCGATAAATTGAGGAAAAAAAATACTACAAAGCAGATGGAGGATGACAAGGCGGAATAAACAGGGAAGTGAAGGCACCAGAGTGGGGCCTTGAGTTTCCCATTGTGAGAAAAAACAAGTTTAGACAGACCCTGAGAATAGACATATGGATGGTACTGACAAAAAAGACCTTGCTACAAAGTAGGGAGAGCAATGGCTCTCAAATACWGCAGGAGATATCCTAAAAAAGGACCATATTTTACTTCTGATCCATAACTCACARTAATTCTACCTATTATCAGTACTATATCTCAAAAGTCTTGAAAAAGTTTTGAAAAAAGGTAAAGCATGTTTGTAAATTCTAAAACTCTCAATTATCTATGAAATTCTGATAATTCACTCGTAACCTGCCTTTTCAACCTCCTCTTACACTCAGTGGTATGCCTTCTGTTAACCCTCAAGTCTACTCCCTGTTTACCCGCAGGCCTACTTCCACTGTTTACCCACAGTGGTACTCACATTGTTTACCCTCAGTTGTACTGCTCCTGTTTACCCTCAGTGGTACTCTGTTTACCCTCAGGCCTACACTTCTTTACCCTCAGTCCTACTCCCCCTGTTTACTCTTAGCGAACCTTGCCCTTTTTACCCTCAGTCCTTCTCCTCCTTTTACTCTCAATGTTACTCCCCCTGTTTACCCTCAGGCCTACTTCTGTTTCCCTTAAGTCCTACTCCCATTGTTTACCCTCAGTCCTACTCCACCTCGTTACCCTCAGTCCTACTCCCACTGTTTACCCTCAATCCTACTCCCACTGTTTACCCTTAGTGATTA